TGGACAATCAACAGCTTTCTTGGTAGCTAAGGCATGCTCCTGTCACGTGAGGAAAATACTCAGATGACTAGAGAGAGAATTAACAAGCTTGGAGTAAGCCCCCCGGGCACTCAAATCTGAGGGATCCCTGAGTAACAATGACCACGCATAAGCTGAACAAGGCCATGCTAAAATCCAGCATATAACTTCTGTTCTCAGAAACCATCACCCCCACGTAACATCATATTTGTGGTATTCAGTATTCTGGCCAGAGAGAGGGTGGCTGTTAGTGGTTTTCTCTGAAAGAAAAGCAGGGAGTCAGGTGTATGCTCTGAGATGTGGCCCCTCCTCCTGTGGAAGTCAAATCAGCAAGCTCCCTATTCCTCTTCCTCATGTCATTCTCATCAGGCAAGCCTGCCTTTCCTCCCGCTGGGACCTGTGAAATTCTACCTGACTCAGAAGATACACTTGCAGGCCGGAAGCGGGGTTGCTAGCTGGCTCCATAAAGCAGAGGAAAGTGTTGGGGAAGACTCGCTGCCGTCATTCAGCGGACTGCAAGAGGGGTTGAAAACGGGGAGTGAGAAGACAGATCCCAGAGCGAGAACTGGTTCTCTGTTGGGATAGGTTCTAGATGATTTTATCTTAGGGTTGGAGAATAGTTGGCCTTTAATAAAACCTGGAGGGAGTGAGACAGTGACCGAGCATTTTGCTCAGAGCTTGGCAGAAACACAGAAACACAGCTGCAGAGAGAGCTGGAAAATGTAAACACATCCAGAAAGGCACGTGGTGGGGGGAAGTGGGGACACAGACGCCAGGAGAACGATACACAGCAAACCTCAAGCCCGAGTCACCGCTTTATCAGCTGAGTAACAATGACCACGCATAAGCTGAACAAGGCCACGCTAAAATCCAGCATATAATTTCTGTTCTTGGAAACCATCACCCCTACGTAACATCATATTTGTGGTATTCAGTATTCTGGCCCGAGAGAGGGTGGCTGTTAGTGGTTTTCTCTGAAAGAAAAGCAGGGAGTCAGGTGTATGCTCTGAGATGTGGCCCCTCCTCCTGTGGAAGTCAAATCAGCAAGCTCCCTATTCCTCTTCCTCATGTCATTCTCATCAGGCAAGCCTGCCTTTCCTCCCGCTGGGACCTGTGAAATTCTACCTGACTCAGAAGATACACTTGCAGGCCGGAAGCGGGGTTGCTAGCTGGCTCCATAAAGCAGAGGAAAGTGTTGGGGAAGACTCGCTGCCGTCATTCAGCGGACTGCAAGAGGGGTTGAAAACGGGGAGTGAGAAGACAGATCCCAGAGCGAGAACTGGTTCTCTGTTGGGAAAGGTTCTAGATGATTTTATCTTAGGGTTGGAGAATAGTTGGCCTTTAATAAAACCTGGAGGGAGTGAGACAGTGACCGAACATTTCGCTCAGAGCTTGGCAGAAACACAGAAACACAGCTGCAGAGAGAGCTGGAAAATGTAAACACATCCGGAAAGGCACGTGGAGGGGGGAAGTGGGGACACAGACACCAGGAGAACGATACACAGCAAACCTCAACCCCGAGTCACCGCTTTATCGGGAGATGATCTGATCGTGAGAAGTGACAGAAAGGTAGGTGGGCTGGACCATCATCACCATGAGAAGTGCTATTCAAAGTGTTGTCTCTGCAGCTGGTCTTGGAGCAACTCCCTCTCTTTATGACATTTCATCTGATGACATCACCTTGCTCACAGGAGCATTGAAGGGTACCACTAACGAGGCTGATACCTGGTTGATAACAGGTGCTCAGTTCCCATCGCTTTCCTTGGATTAGGTCACACTAAATCCTCCACCTCTTTCTGTAGCCATTCCTCTCTTTACTCTTCAGAGAATCACTGCCTCTATCCCAAATATTGCACGAGGACCTCGCCTTAGCCCTCTTCTTGTTTTATACACCCTCCATCTCCCCAACCACCCTCTATCGGGCACTCTTAATTCTTTGTACCCTGCACTACTTCTATTTTTTTTTGCAGCATTTATTATCTTTTATTGTGTTATATAAATATTTCTTGTTTTGGTTTATTGTCTATGTCTCCCCCACTAGACTATAAGCTGTTAGAGCAGAAGTCTGTATGTTTTGTTTACTGAGATATCCCAAGCACTTAGGATTGTGTCTGACACAAAGAAGATGCTCCATAAATATTAAGAAATAAGTGAATAAAAAGGCAATCTTATCTAGTCCATCTGTTTAAATTACCATATACACTAAAGTCTCCCATTTATGATAGAAACAAACTAAAATGTTATCAACAACATAATAAAAAGCATAACATATATGTACCAGTGTAATACTGCTATTGAAACACTGGCAATGCAGAAGTAATAATAATTTTCTACTATATACTATATTAATAATTATTAAATTATATAATAAAATATTTTTGTACAATATAGAGTAATATAAATTATATGTGCTTTATATGATCATACATATAATTTTACATATGATATGCATCTATATATTCTGTAGCCATTTTATATACAATAAAATACACTATATATAATTTCTAAATAAAACAAAAATTATATATAATTTATGTTATAAATATTCTGTACATAATTTTAACAATTATATTAATTATATAATATATTAATAAAAACAGAATGTTGCTTTTCAAGTAGCAACCAGTGCATCAAGGCAGAAAAAATGTGATTGTCTACTAGACAATCTAAAGTAAATTGAGAAACTATTCAAACTATTAAGAAAATCTTCAAAGTTATAAAATAAATATGCAAAATCAATAGGTTTCTCATATGTCAGAAATAATTGACTTTACTTAAAGAAAAATATTTAGGAAAATAAAAGAAGACTTGAGTAGGTAGAGAGAGACTGTATTTTTGCTTCAGAATTAATATATTTTAAACATATGAATTCACCATAAGTTAATCTATTAATTTACTGTAGTCCCAAATAAAATTCTAACAAGACTGAAGTTGGCATGTGATAAACTGATTGTAAATTGCACCCAGCATATACTTGTGAGAGTAGCCAAGAAAAATGAGAAAGATCAGACCAAGGTAAAGAAACTTGTGAAGACAGATACTAAAGCAAATTGTAAAATATATCAATAAAACTGTGTAAAACTAAAGTTAGATCTTTCTCTTAAACCATGCACTTAAAATAATTTCATATGCACTAAGGATTGAAATATAAAAATAAAGTATATAAATGTTAGAAGACAATAACTATATTCTTGAGCTAAAATGTTTTCAATAAATACATTCAGAAACCATAAAGGAAAAGATTAATAAATCTAACTATATAGAAATTGAAAATTGCTATAGGTAAAATACACACACACACACACACACACACACACACCAAGGACACACTGGTAGAGGATGTGCAATATCTATGACAGATGGAAGATTAGCATTTCCCGCTACTATATAAATAGCTTTTACATAGCAGTAAGGGAAGAAAATGCCTGGTAGAAAAAAAGAGGAGTAACCATGAATTGATAATGACACAAAATCACGTAGAAAAATATAATCTCACCATAAACCAAAGAATGCAAGTTAAAATGAGATCTTTTGCCTGTCATATAAAAATCAATAATAAGTTTGCATGCATGGAATAGAATGTTCAAAGAAATGATAAGAGATGCCTGTTGGAGAACATTTCCTAGACCTTATCAGAGTAAAGATGGAGAGAGTGTGTGGTTAAGTGGGCTAGTCCAAATTCAAAGGCACAGGATAATTAGCATGAAGGGAGCGAGTATAGATGATGGTAAATCACAATGGTATGTTTAGGGGTACTGACAGGTTTGCATATTGTCTCTCCCAGAATTGATATTTTCATATTAACAGGTTCCAAATAAAAAATTCATGTGGCCTTTGAATGGCTGGGTGAGAGCAAGATTTTAGAATGTGAATAACACACTTAATGATCCTATATAATAAAAGCCCAGCGGCCAAATGGCAGAATGACCAAAACGACTGGTCAACCAGTTGTTATGACACACACTGACCACCTGGGGGTAGATGCTCAACGCAGGAGCTTTCCCCGGTGGTCAGTGCACTACCACAGTGGGAGCGCCGCTCAGCTGACTGGGATGAGCGGCACTCCCACTGTGGACTGATCCTACAGGCCATGCCTCCCACCAGTGCACGAATCCTGCACACTGGGCCTCTAGTAAGTTTAATAATAGGCTTTGTGTCTGATAAAATGTCTTTATACATACTTTTGACGAAGTGTGGAAACATTTAAATGTGTATTGCTTATTAAACATTTAATCCTTAGAGCTCTTTGTGGACATAATTGGAAGAAAGTAAATTTCTCTAACTTTTCATGGTAAATGCTCCTTTCTTCCTTCTAGTTTTCCCAAGTTTCACCCCAACACCTCTATGAATGGGTTCAGTATCCTCAGGCTATTTGGGTCCATTTGCTCTAAATGGTTCAAAAAAATCTACAAAATGATTTTATACAGTTTATGATAGAATTAATATTTGTGTCTCCTCCTTAAGTATTTGCACTTCAATTTTTTTGGCACATGTGAGGGTTGTCAAAGAGTTTTCACATGCTTATATGACCTGAACTTTGCTCCAAGGGCCTAGGAGTGGGGCAGGAATTGTGGTCTTCATCTGAGAGAGGTGAGGTAACTTAGGGAAACCCCAACACACAGCAGGCAAACTGGGCTTAGAATCCAGGCCTTCTCATTGGAGTCCAGTGCCCTTCCCACTCTACTGGTCCACTTTCCTCTACAAGAGGAGGCCAAAGATGGCTATGATGGAACCTTGTAGAGAAGATGTTTTGAGGATTACATCATGTCAGGTTCTCAACCTGCTCACCTAGAACAACATTCATCTATGTCTACCTGACCTTGGAGGGTAAGTGGATGGGAATTTGTTCCCCACTCTCAGCACCTCCGGTTATGGGGAACATTCTGGACAGCATCCCATGGCCCTCACCCCCGGGCCCAGCATGTCAGGGCCACAGCTCCCCCCGATCCTAGGGCACAGGGAAAGCATGCCTGTTCTACTACCTTTGATGGCCTCTTTCACAGTAGAATCCACAGGGAGTATGTTCTTCTCCACCAGCTCCAGCGGCCCCGGCCGGAGAGCAATTTTTTCGTTGAGATCATCTGCAAGTCGGGCTCTTTTCAGCTTCATCTGAGCAGCGGGAAGGGACCTCTCTGCTGTGGAGGCTAAGTGGGGGGAGGGAAGGAAAAGGATCAGCTCTCCAATGCCATGTTATTTTCGATTTGTTGCATTTGTAACCAAACATTGTGTCATCTGGTGCTCTACCATCCCAATAATTTTTTAATGCAATCATCATTATTTCACATGGATTAGCAACAAAAACTAGCCACTTCCAAAGAAAGACAAATAGTGAGTCAGGCAAACAGAAAAGTTAGAGAAACTTGCTTTGTAAGGATTTTTTTTTTAAATGTGCAGTTTGGTGATTCTGTAAGCAAGTAGTACATGGGGTCTACATTGCTTGCTGACCCTAAGCTACAACCTTTGGATGCACATCCTGTGTGTATGCTGGTACAGGCTGAGCCTGCAGAAAATGTTACCTATTTTTTTTTAAATATATATGTATATTTATTGATTTCAGAGAGGAAGGGATAGGGAGAGAGAGATAGAAACATCAATGATGAGAGAGAATCATTGATTGGCTGCTTCCTGCATGCCCCAGACTGGGGATCAAGCCCGAAACTCAGGCAAGTGCCCTGACTGGGAATTGAACCGTGACCTCCTGGTTTATAGGTCAACGCTCAACCACTGAACCATGCCAGCCAGGCCATGACCTATTCTTATAATTATATATTCTTAAGGCTTTTATACTTATCAGTGTGCTGTTAATTTAAATGTCCAGGTCAGTTGTAAAAGAAAAAGATTCACTTAAAACAGTTATCTAATTAAACAGAGAGATCTTGACAATGGAATTTATCCAACAAGCAGTTTATGATTATTTGGAGGGTGAGAAAGGTCACTAACAGAGCCCTAAGCTACCCCATGTTCCCTTGCCAGTTAGGCCCTGACTTACTTCCTGTGGACAAACTTGGAGGAGAATCTAGCCTCCTCCAAGTGTTGCTATAATGCTGAACTGTAAGCTAAGATTCCTTAAAACTTTACAACTTTACTCTCAACTTGGCACATTTAGAAGGTGAGATATTTACAGACAAGCCTCAAGCCCACTGTTCTGTTATTTCCATCCTACTAGGCCAGGCCGTGTCTGATCTAGCAATCTTCACCCAGCAGAGATGTCTAATTGTGGCAGCAGGCCAGGCTCGTCGAAGCTCTACCTGCAAAGCCCTTGATGTGAGAGATGGAAACTCCCCACTTAGAATCTTAGATTAACAACTGGGTGTCATTTTTAATTATTTATATTTATTGTTAGGGCTATACTTCCCCACCACAGAATCTGACTGTAAATACAGCTCATGCATATGGTTTTTCTTCCCTGAACTGGATTACAAATGTAGTTTTGTTTTTTGTTTTTCACTAAACATCATCTTGTAGACCTTTTCTCCTTAAATCATTATCCTTTTAAAGCCTTCTTTGTGGTGGCTGCGCAGTATTTAATCATATGGCTGATGAGTAATTTATTCAGCACCTCCTTCATTGTTATACAGTTCACCGTTTGCCATGTCTCACTATCTGAAGTAATTCCACAGTGAACACCATTGTACATCAATCTCTGCGTGTCCGATTATTTTCTCTGGATAAAATACAGGCATACACATTTTATTGTGCTTTGCTTATTGCACTTCACAGATGTTGCATTTTTACAAATTGAAGGAAAGACCTTCCACCACCAAAAAGATTACAACTCACTTACTTTATTGCTTGACTGTGGCGGTCTGGAACCCCACCTGAAATATCGCTGAGGTATGCCTGCACTAGAAACTTCCTACTGGGCTAAAGGGTAGACACATTGTAAAGGAATTTGATGTACGTATGTTAACATTCCCTATGTACTCAGAAGTGGCACAGCTAAGATTAGAACACAAGTGTGAGACCTTCCTAGCCATTATACGGCTTCCCCATTTGATTGTTTAAATGGCCTAGAGCTGTGGTCGGCAAACTGCGGCTCTCAGCCACATGCGGCTCTTTGGCCCCTTGAGTGTGGCTCTTCCTAAGCCTTAGGAGTACCCTAATTAAGTTAATAACAATGTACCTACCTATATAGTTTAAGTTTAAAAAATTTGACTCTCAAAATTTTTTTTTCTCAACTTTGGCTGCACATTAGAATCACCTGGGAGTCTTTTTAAAATCCTGATTTCTGGGCCTCATCCTCCGGAAATTCTGTTTCTTTGTTATGGGGTGGGGCCACAACATTAGTAACAAAGAAACAGAATTTCCAGAGGATGAGGCCCAGAAATCAGGATTTTAAAAAGATTCCCAGGTGATTCTAATGTGCAGCCAAGGTTGAGAACCACTGACCTAGAGTGACTAGGTGACTTCTCAAAAGTATCAGTTTCCAATGTCAGGGGACACTTTACATGAGGTCTTAGCAACTGTGCAGAGACAAAGGGCTCTGGCAGAATGGCCCAGCCCTGAGCGGGCACCTGGTCTACCAGTATGGCTTCGCGCAGCCTTACCCTGGAGTATGTGCATAGTAGCCGAGTGGGCGCGGTCGGGCCTGCTTCTGACCTTGCGCTGCAGGGCGTCTTCTGTCTGCAGGCACAAGCAGAACACACTGTCACCACCACACAGGGCCCCGCCGCCTGGTTCTAACTGCAGAAGAAACCTGAGCTTCCTCAAAGGGGAGAGCAGTCTTTCTATGACACATGGAACATGCAAATAGCCCTGGTCTACCTTTTCACGCAGAAACACTTACAAAAGTCTCTTTAATGGATTTCAGGATGAAAGATAAAGAGGTAAAAAGCTTGAGTCCCCATCAGGGCTACACAGTGAAAGGCCAGGCAGGTACATGTTAATAAATATGAATGAAGCTGTGCTGCTTCTATTATAGTGAACCCTGCACTCTTCCACTGCCTTGGAAACCGGCCACAACATTCACCAGGGTTAGAGTTGGCACCTAATCTGAGTCCATCACCATGACAACAGATGCCCTCCTCCTGTTAGCCACCCGGCTTCTCTCTGAGGCCCCTCCTGAGTTGGAAGGACACTTAGGAACAGACAATTTGCTGAGCCCTTGGTGACGGCTGTCTGTGGGGTGGGGCGGGCTGTGGCAGGGCCACACTGGGCCTCGGCTCTGACTTCTAGCCCTTAGTTGTTAATCCCACTACATTGGATCTCCTATCTGGCCCCTGAGAGGCGTCTGGAGACAACTTGAGTTCTGATTTTAAACAAAAACAAAGCCTGGTTCCTCTCCAGAGAGTGGGGACCACCGCCTGTCACGAGCACCTTTGAGCGGTCACAGCTCGGCTCCTTTCTCCACCCAGACCAGCGGCCAGGCTGGGGCTCAGAGACCCCAGGAGACACCTCCCGGCAGTTCCTTCCCTGCAGAGCGCTGGCGCTTGCTAAGTTGTACTTGTATTATCCATAAGTTCAGGTGGCAGAGATGTGCTATGAAGGTGCAGAATATACACAAATTTCTCCCCCAAATGCCACAAAACCCAGAAACAGAAATAAACTCAGTGCTCTTTGCCTTAAGTAACTGCAAATAAGGTCTGTGTCCACAGCCCGACCTCACCACTGAGCTGCCTTAAAAACACCTGATTGTTGCTGAGACAGGGCTGTAGTCACAGGCACAGCAGCCGCGAACCAACTCTGACTCCTACTGTAAAGTCTCTGACTTCTGCTGCAGCCTTGCAGTGACCCCCAGGTCAGAAAGGCTGGGGCATTTTTTTAAGCTAAAAAGTAACATTTTTAAAGCTGATGTAGCTGACCCCATTTCCAGTTTTCCGTTCATAACAGGAAGATTCCATATGGCATGCGGGCAGGGCGCTGGCAAACGGGCTGAGTTTCTTGGAGAAATTCTACCTGCTCTAGGCGAGGCCGAGCATTCAGAGACCCAGCCCTGGAGTCTAAGTTCAGGAAGAGGGCAGTTGGCAGGCAGTTACCTGGTCACTGTCCGAATTCTTTCTTTGCTCATGGAACACAGCTGGACCTCTCAGCGCTGAAACAGAAAGACGCAGACGTGAGCGGGGCAGCTCAGGGGCTCTGAGCATTTCTCAGTGTTGGCTGGTGCGCTGGCCGAGCTGTGCACAGTATGGACGTGGGCGCCTTACAGGCCACAAGCAATGGAGGAGGAAAGGCCTGGAGGACACAGCTTCCCTAAAGCCACAGGACACAGAGGAAGGTGGGATTTCGGCCTAAAACAGGAGGAGCAGCACAGGCAGAGGCGACAGGAAGAAAACACGGTGGCGACAGGGCATTCGGGTTCCTGAGGAAGTACAGGGGCCTATGGGAAGCTGGGACAGGAGTCACGCTCCGGTTTGAGGGGCAGGGGGAGGCTGGGGTAAGTAACACCCTCTTTGACTTTGTTCTGCCCTTGACTGCAAAAGACTGGGTGGAAGCTGTGGTCTGTGGGAAGGGGTCCCATATCGTAAGAAGGGATGGGTACCTTGGATGTGGTGTGTGGCTCGTTGGTAGGAACATGCAACTGAGAGTGTTGATTTGAGAAGCACGGAATCAGACTTTGAGGGCTGGAAGGGACCTTGGAGATAATGAAACACAACTCCAACCCTGACCAGAGTGGGGAAACTGAGGCCCACAGAAATTGGTTGACTTGCCCTGGGTCCCACTGTTCGGGCTAGAAGCCTAGGCCCTCTGACAACCTGACTTCTTTCAAGGTGTGTGTCCAAGACATTAACAAGCAGTGGCACAGGCACCGGTCAGTCACCGCACACAGCTGCTCTTGATGACCTGATGGGACACCAGCCTCCATCTCTCCACCTTGCCCTGGTTTTCCTACGATCTCACAGCTCCCCCTCCTGATCATTTACCCAGGCCTCTTGACTCAGCACAGAAGTAGACCATCATTCGGCAGAATTCTCCATTTTTTTTTATTAGTTTTTCTGATCCCCTGGAACAATCTCCACCAGGAGCTACAAACAGCACTTTTCATGATAAGTGATGAGGTTGATCAGAGATTATAGAATTGCACTGAGTATCTTTGTGTGTAAGTCTGAACAAGTGGACCCACAGTTCTAATATTCCTCCCACAGGTGTCCACCATTAAGCTGCAGGCAATGAAATATTCTCCCAAATTTTGGCCAGAAAAAAACTTGGAAGATCATACTAAATTTGAACAATTTTCAAAAGGGTGTGCTGGACAGTAAGCCATCTCCTTCGGAGTCCTGGTGGCTGGTGGACTGTGTTACCCTCTATCGAGGACACTGCTTGGAAGGTACTAAGCACACTCTCTCTAAACCCCGCCTGTCTCGCTCCAGCATTGACAATGTTATCCAAAGGAACATGCAGAATAGTCCCAGCTGTTTGCCTTGTGCCAAGTGTACTGGACTAGCCCCTTCTCATACTTTGAACAGATTAAGAGGCTTCCCTTCTTATAGAAAAAAATTAAATGTGTTGCTTGAATATCACTTTTCCTATTGCTCTAACACCAGTCTCTCTTGGCTGCTTTCACTCTTCCAATGGGCTTCTTCGCAAAATCTGCCATTTCAAATGCCCCTGCCCCTTCCCTCCTTTTGTCGCCACTCAGTGGCTCTGAGACATCATCTGGAGAAATGTGCGGTTCTACTGCGATGATCTTGCGTTTTCTCCCATTTGGGTCTGGTCACCATCCTTAGTAAGGAGGCTCGCCTTTTCCTGCATTTGATCACAGCTGCGATTCGTATTGATGGAGTTCTGAAAGCAACTCCCGTTTCCCTAGGCAACCAGATCCTACACATCTGCTTGGAGTCCAGTGGGCCCTGGTGAATCTCACAGTCTGAACTGATAGGTCTTCACCTGCATCCTACACGCTGGTGTTCACCGAAGTAGGTGTTATGTGCTGCTATGGTTTAGTCATTTCTGACCCAGAAGAGGAATCGATCTCAGTGTGGCCTGGTTAAGTGGTTGAAAAGAACAGCACCTCCTTTTCCTTAAGAAGCACCCCTAAGGGAACACTATGACTGCATCTTGAGATATCGCTTACATGCAAACTCAATTGGTTGTAATTGGGCTTAAGACTTAGGAGGAATTTATCTGGTTCTCTTGTCCCTGAGGCTCTTCACTTTCTAAGGGAGTTTATTCATTGTTCTAAGAAACATTGCATTTCCTGTTTCCTGTATCTTAGCTTGTCAAGCTATAATTCATCACTTCTTGGTGTTAACAGCTCCCCCGTGAAATGATTCATACAGCCCAGCTCCGTTGCCAGGGGCACAAAAGTCTTCTGGAACCTTCTAACACAAGGTGGGAGAAGCTAAGTCCATTCAGCAAGGACTCAGGAGGAAGCCAAAGGGGTCGACACACTGCATTTTACCACATGCTATTCTCCTCAGGGCTCAAGGCAAGCTACATGTTGCATTGGCTTGAGGTCGCACTGTGGACAGCCACCCTGCCGTGGCCCTGCCACAGACACTGGCTTATTCTGGGCTCTGAAGAATGTGGGTTTAGCCTCCTCCCCTGAGGGCCAGCAGAGGCCACAATGCACCCTCCACCCCAAGTTCAGTTTTTGGAAAACGCATAGAGGACTCTGCTGCTGCCAACCCTGGGAGTGTCAAACAGCAACATTTTGTATCTAAGGGACATTGACATTTCAGATCGACAAGGAATTTTAATTTCTAAATTAAAAAAAAAAGTCAAATTAAAATTCTTTGTAAATTCACTCATGCACTCATCACATTCTCCCCTAGAGGAAGATAATCGTTTCTCACAAGAGAATTCACATTCTCACCTCAGAGTCGGTTACAGCTAGCCTGGGTCAGCTGTGTGCATAAACCCTGCTCTCTCAGGAAAAGATCCCAGGCCTCCTGGAGCCCTGCTCTGCACTCTAACCTCATATCTTCATCGGGGGCCCGGTAAAAGCAGAAAATAGATCTTGGGGCACTTTAATCCATTGAGGAGAGGGGCCAGCACAGGGGAGGGGCCTGGTGTTGGTGGCAGCTCTGACAGCTGTGCCTGAAGCAGGACCTGCCTTCTCTCACCAGCCGCTCACTCCCCGGCTAAGGGGGAGAGAACACAGCTCCTTGGGTATTTCTGATAAAGATCAAGAGGGAGAATCAAAGAGCCAGAGACCTGGGGCAGCAACTGGAACTCCAAGTGGTTCTCAAAGTGTGGCCCCCAGGCCAGCATCCTCAGCATCACCTGGAAACTTGCCAAGAATGCCAATCCTTGGCCCCACCTGAGACCTCCGGACCCCAAACTCCAGAGGTGTGGGAGCAGGGGGCTGTGTTTTAACAAGCCCTGTGGGTGATTCCGATGCACACATTTGAGAATGGCTGCTCTGGAGTTAACAAGGCAGTGGGTCCTGATCTAGGGTCCCTGGGTGTTCAGAAGGGAGTGATGGTTTCTAGGGGTGATGGTCAATATTTCAGAAAGCTGAAGGAGAAGGGTGTGTTGCCCAGAGGAAAAGCCTGCCCAAGCAAATGGAACTATCACTTTTCACTGCTGCTGCCTAGACTCACAGCAACTTGGTTCAGTAATGGGTGTCCTCATGGAAATCATTGGTTGGTAAGTTTATGTGACAGTAATTAGTCAAAGGCAGACATAAGGGTTAATCATTCATGTATGTAGAGTTCTTTGGGAGGAAAATGAAATGAATTCAAACATTTGATCTATGGCAGGGATAGGTTTGCTTAAAGAAGTTTTGGATGACAAAATTATGGGGAACCATCAATTTAGGCTCTATTGGGGCTTTGCATCTATTTTTGGTGTGGGTTTGAACAAGTTTATGGTCTTCCTGTGATCTCAGTTTCCCATTTATAAAATGGGTTTAGTAATGCTCTCTTTGCCTCACTCTTAAAGACAAATTGGATCATGAGTATTTTTCCAAGTAGCTGTGTGTTATCACTATGCCATGCAAAAATGATAACACTTTGGAAATTATAGGCTCTCTTTAGGTTGGCAATATTGCCAATCCAGTACCCAAATGATAGTCTCAGGGGTCTTCCCAATGTAGCTTTGCTATACTTAAGACCTGGCTTGAGCACCTGGACAAGTTGACGGAGCATAGGTGGACATTTTGGAATTTGTCAGGAGAAGGGTACAAAGACAAATTCAAAGTATGCCAGTAACTACTGGTTTACTTATTTCTAAGGATCAAGAAACCAGAAAATTGAATGAAAAGGGGTGGGGAGCAGAAGGGATTTAGGATTGTTTACCCAAATGGGGTTGCCACGAAAATCCAGGGTGCCTTTTCCTATCTCTGAATTTGAGATGTTAGAAAGAAGGGAAGAGGCAGACAGATTGAAACCCTTGTGCCGTGTTCTGCTCAAACAGCCAACAGTGTGTGGTAGGTGCTGTGGGGATAAGCCAAGTCAAATGGATGCACTGAGAAAAGGAAGAAAGGCTTTGCCCACTCAACGTCTCAGAACTATCAGGAAGCTGCATGTGGTGCGGGCACAGGAACTGCCCAGTCATCCTTCTTGCTATGCAGGAGGAGTATCACAGAACTCAGGGATTTACCAAGGCTTTGCAGTAAGTATGTGGCTGCTGTGGCTTGGATTAGTCTGCAAAACAAATAAAGGCAGCACCATTCATAGACAGCTCATCGCATCTTTAAATTCATTTACATTGACCAGATCACGGAACCAAGCTGCCCAGACATCTCGCTCTGAGCAGCGGCGGAATGCTTGGAGTCTCCGTGGAGAGTCACAGCCGCTCTGGGCCCCAGCCCTCCACCATCCATCTCAGTTCTCTAATCTCGTTCTCTGTGTTCCAGGACAGTCAACTAAATGTTCTCTCCTCTCTCCCCGGGATTCATATAGATTAGCTCCACGTTTATAGCAGCGGGAAAGAGAAAGAAAAAGTAATTGATTTCCTTCAATCCTCCCAGATACCCACTCCCACGTAGTGACGTAATGTTGTCCAATATTGTTAATGGGGACAATTAAGTAGGGGTGATTTGGGGCCCCTTCTTGATTGTAAGCACTTAGAAACACAACTTATATCTGAATCTTCTGGGCTCCACAGGGCCTTCCTCACAGCAGATAGTCAAAATATTGGACTTGCTCTTGATCCTTGATAGCACCTAATCCATATAGCTGATCACCCTGCTGCACCAAGGCTTCAGAAATGGTTGGAATAAAATTGTGTCATCTAAGATTCTACCCAGGACAGCAATGCTCAAGAAAAAAATAAATTGTAGTTAAGACAATGTGCACGAGAGATGATGCACAGGTCCATAGGCCTACAAGGGAAGGAGGTGGGCTCTGTCCTACAGCCAAGAAAAGGTAGAGAACCTTGATGTCCTCTTGCAGCTGTGGGCCCGAACGGGAGGGGCAGTGGAGCCATCCCCTGTGAGTTCTAGTTGATAGTGACAAAGTCAGCAACTTGCAATCTCCATCTTGAGATGCAGAGATAAGATTTTGGAGATAAATCGAAACAATCAATTCTTAAATATTTCTAAGTTAACTTCAAGAAGATTATTTCACTAAGATGTTATGACTATTCTGAAAGTGTGAATTCCACAACTGAATATTTAATGTAAAAGCAATCTTAGGATCTGGCTTAGGTCCACGCTCCCGGCCTGAGAACCCTTTTCCTACTGTTTAAAGTTATTCTAGGGGCTCAGTGCTGGCCTCAGAACCCTGCCCTGCTTCACTGAAACTCAAGGAACAATGCCTTTAAATCCATTCAAAGCACCTGGAAGGGAAAACCCTAACCCTATAATGCCCACAAGTAAGAAATACGTAAATGCTTAATGAAGTGATTAAGGGGGATCATACAAGAGTCTTTGTTTCTAATTGATGTGGACTCTTTGTACTCACAGGCAAACTCAAACCCTGCAAGATGCATGGCCAAGGACAAGGGAAAAATAAATTAAATCCATTTGGACTAGTCTCACTAGTCAACTGAAAATTACACATGGTTTGGTTCATTGGAGCCAGTAGGGGAGAAGCCTTACAATTTAACCATCAGTTTGGCATGGAGTTGAAGTGAGACCTGCCATAGCTAAGGCAGTGCAATTTTTCACTCTGTCTTGGTCATGGGGAGGGATAGATGATGATGTAGACCCTGGAGCCATTTCAAAAACCACCAGTTTGTCCTTGTCATATATACAGTCTCTGCCCCCAAATTTATACACACACTGTGAATAATTATAAAGGCAGTGTTTATTAAAATACATTTCATTTTCAAAATTGAGCTACCAGCTGTTAAAGTGTATATACATTTTGGGGATATATATATATGTGTGTGTATATATATAATATATATGCAACTGCTTTATAGTAGACACTTAAGTGTTCTAAAAGCTCAAGTGATTCCTTTTGAATAGTTGAAAACAAAGCCCCGTGTAGGGGCCAGAAGACACAGGTTCTGGCCTCAGTTCTGCCACAATACACAATATGAGGGGTGCATTCTTCCACTGGACAAGCCCTTGAGATGTAACCTAAGGTCAAACTCAAGACTCATTCTGCCAAAGGGTAGCAGGCATTTCTGTTGAGCAGCTAAAAGCAGTAGTGCCATATAATAACAACATAGAATGATTAATTCATTTGGCCATCAGCTTTCCACTTAGGCAATTTGTGATGTTTTAAAATTGGGGGAAGATTGCAAATATTTAAACCTTTACTGATAAAGTAAAATTTTTATTAATAATTTTATTGTGCATGCACTTCAATTCTCACAATTCAAATTTGCAGAAATTAGAACCACTCTGGGACCGGATTTTGGGACATTTGAAAAATTTCTTAGGCCTCCTCAACCTCAGTTTTATGAACGTTAAAGACAATGGGATATGGACTAGGTCAGGGGTTTTAAACTGTTCTGAAGAGGACCAGCTCTCTGGGGAGGATGACCAGGGCGTCTAGAAGGGATGGGGATGGCCGAGTAAATGGGGCAGAGCCCCCTACGCTGTTTCAGCCAGCACATACATACACAATTAAAAAAATTGAAGATCATAGAAACAGATAATCTCTAGGGATTATCAGCTTTTCTTCCCTCCATTCTCCCCCTTTCCTCCCACCTTTACTTTTTTGTTCTGTTTCAAAAATTCAAAGAAAATAATGAAGAAATAAACGCCCTCTTGTGAACGTAAGGCGTTCCACCTTGAACTATACTATGTGTATTTCTCATCATTCTTTCTCTTAACATCTTGAGTTTCCCTGAGGACTGTCTTGCTCCCTGGTGTGCCCTGTGTGCCTGGCACAGCATCCTGCATCGACTCGTTAGAAATGTGTTTAATTCGATTAATCGTAAAGCCTCTGGGACTGTGGGTCCTCTTTCCTTCGCCCCACGGGTGGCTCACACACCTGCCCTCAGGTGCCTGAGTAAGCACACTGCATTAGGTGGCAGGTTTAATCTCTACGTGGGCAGAAGAGGCGGGCCCTCTCCTCCCCGCCCAAAATATCTGGGCAGGTGAAGATCCCTCCTGCCTGGGGTAGCTTTCTGAGAAGACCCAAGTGCTGATGGTTTCTCCGGGCTGGGCCTGCAGTGTGTGCCTGCTGGGACGTGGGCATTGTCCACGGAGAATCCACAATCTTGGAAAGTGGGGTGGAGAGGAGGTGGCTGAAGACTAAGGAAAACGATGATGTTGCATTAACCTTCCTCATTTTGCTGAATTAAAAAGAAAACCATTTCCTTACTCATAGGACACATTCCAGTAATTATCTTAACGATGCGATGGACTATGGGCACAACATTTCTGTCACACAGCATTTCGTAAATTTGTACACTATCCGATTCTGGACATCCTGGAGGACAAATGCTCTATCCCATCCCCATTGGACCCTACTACAGTAATGACATTTGATCTTCCCAACTTACACCGAGGCAGTATTTAAAAATGCAATATAGGGTTTTTACTGATTCCCAGAGATTTAATTCTATTAACCTAAAAAAACAAATAAAAGAGTTTGTTCTCATCCAAATGTGAGCTGTGAGACCCTGGCTCAGGGTTCAGCACATGGGTGGATCTGTCAATCACTGTGCACAGCTGGAGCTGACTAATGGTGCGGGGTCTTTCCACTCCAGTGAGGGGACAGATTATTTCAACAGGATTCAAATCAGTGGCTCCTCTTAGATTCAAGGGCCCCTGCTATATGTAGCCTGTGGTCTGCTGAAAGGATCCTGGGGGACCTACACTTGTTTACAGTCTTAGTGAATAATTCTTTGAGATAATGTGAAACAAATGAGCTTCTATACATTAAAGGCAGGATTCCTGGAAAGACAGGTCTAGTCAGCTGTGAGTGACGCTGGATTTGATGGCTCTAACCTAAAGTCCACAGGCCTTTGGTCTCTCCTGTCTTGAGCAGGCCCACAGGCGGTCTGGCCGACGCACAGGCCACACTCAGATTTGCTCCTTTAGTTTCTCATCACAATTGTACATGTTGTTTAAGCAGCTTTTAAATGGCAGGCCGAGCTGTTTCTTTTGTGTTCAGAAAACTTCTAAAAATCTTGCTCTACTATAAGCTCACCTGCTGTTTACTGTTGGTGGGGTTTAGCCATCAACAAAGAGCTACGTTTGAAACACAAAGGAAAAGGCCTGGGAAACTCTTAGTTCTGTTTTGGCTCTGAATCACAGAAATATATTTGAACATTGCAGACCTTCAATCATAGGGCTCTGGTACTACTGACTGCCGGCCACTTCATTAAGGACAAACTTCCACGCTTTTCAACTCAACTCTGAAGTACTAGTCATGCTGGGGCCTGGGTTTCTGCAAGAGTCGTTATAAATCTTAATTTTTAAATTCGTTGGGGCAGGAAGTTAGAAACTATGACCTAAAGAAGCTTAAACTGTGATTTCCTTCATCCAGGGCACCCTTTCTGCCATTTCTATAGAAAACCAAAATTGGCTCCAATTGCAACATTGGTAGAAAATTTCAACTATGTTTTCTAAGAGATGAAAATCCTTTTTCTTTGACCTAAATTATGGCCAACAATTCAATATTATACCACTTATGCTAGACTGGTATGGCTACTCAGTAATTCAGAAAGAAAGCTCTTGACAATATTCAATTAATTGTGGATAAAAGTATCCCAAATAGACGTGAACCCAAAGAGGTGAGAAAAAGATGATGTAATTAATGCTTCTGGAAGAATAGTGATCATACCCCCTTTTAAAAGTAAGAAAAGGGTGAGGGATGCCCTTAGTGAATTGTGTTTACCCTAAAACCAAAACCACCACCATAAAATTTTAGGGAACCACCCACCTCGTGGGTGAGTAGCATTTGGGGCAAAGCATCCAAAGTCTGGATTTCTGACGATTCAGATTCTACGAAGATCCATGGGCTTAGACTACATGCCTCTGAGGTGCTTTCCAGCTCCCACATCCCGTGATCCCCTAGTAGTAAGTACATCAGTACCCCGGGGACGCGGCTACTCACGTGGTATGAAGCCCTGGCTAGCCAGTTGCTCCTGGGCCCTTCTCTGCTGAAGTCGTAACTGCAAAACTTAGAAAAGAAGCGTTAGTGTGTGAGTTGGGTCAATAATCACTTGTATGTACATCATAGCTCTCCTGTCTTGCATAGCTCTTCTCTCTGTTTCTAGAACAGTTGTGGAAGTGTGTAAAGCACATCAGAGAGAAGGGCGAGAGCCGCTGAGAGGGCTGCAGGGCCTTCCCGTAAGTTGGTAACCACCTTGGGTGAGAACACTCGTCTCCTCTCTGAAGTGAGTGCTATTTTTATGGCACCATGTGCCCTCTGTCCATACTGTACCACGTGGAAGACAAATACCATCAAATTCCTC